AATCATTGTGCACATATTGTGAATATTTCATCCATCACCAATCAAAACCTTTTCATGTGCCTTATTGGAATTTCATCATACCCTGTGCACAATGAATACAAATTTACCACAAAAAAAGAAGAAGACCGCAATGTATAAAATCTCTATTAGAGGATGAAGAAAGTGCAGCACATGCACAATCTCTGGTACTCAATTTTTTCTAAGAAACTAATTTCAGTAAAGAGGGAATAAATTCCACAGTGACTCATACCTGTGGCTTTTTTGTAATTGCATTTTTAATGGGCTTCAGTGCTGAATCCAGTGGACTAAGTCAAATGTGTTGGGCTTAACTGTTATGAACTGTAATTTAAAGTAAGTACCGCTGCTATTTTTGATCAGCCTCCATCCTCATTGTGGCCACTGACAGCTCTCTTGCAATTATGATAATATATGTCATCTCTGCTCCATTCTTACGCTTTTATGTGAATTGGGCTCTGAAATGGAATACATTTGATCTAATTGCCAGATTTTGTAAATAGTATCTTGGACATACAATATTCATCCTGTTTTATGTTTTTAACTGACAGTGTTAATTCAAAATTTTATCAATTGACTATCCTTTTAAGTTTCCCACCAGGGTCTGTTTAAGAGTTCAACTTTGAGAGAATTTGTGGTCCATGTGGACACTGTTCTACTTTAATTTATCTTAAGCTTGATGGAGTTCAGAAAGCTAACTCTAAACTTCAACTCTCCACTTTCTATCTTATGTATTTGAATGAGGGTTAAGTCCGTTTAATTAATGGAAGCAGGGCCTTGCTACCCTTGGCTAACCCCATTAACAGAGGGGCCATTGGAGAGTTAACTAGTTGAAGTAATTAGAAGAGGAAAATAAAACAAGAGCCATACACGCATGAGACAGCAGCACTGAACTGTCAGTGTATGAGTGTATCTGGGTGTTTAAAGTTCCTGGCAACTGACTTTTATATAAGACTCACTGCATTCAGTCCTATTCCATTTTTGCTAGAAGTTTACAGAGGTCATAACTGCAAATGACTGTTTACAACAGGCAACTGAAGTCAATTTATGTTGCAGTTATATTACCGAAGCTGATACAGGGCATAATGTCATTGATTATCATTACATTATTTCTTTAAACCACATATAATAAAATTCAGTATACTGTTTCTACTGTTTGCCTTGTGTTTTTTACATGACAGCTACAGGATAGCATAAAACTTAAAATTCTTAACTTAAATCTTAAAGGAATAGTTCACCAAAAAAATGAAAATTTGCTAAACATTTACTTACCCTCAGGCCATCCAAGATGTAGATGACTTTGTTTCTTCATCAGATCAGATTTGGAGCAATGTAGCATTGCATCACTTGCTCACCAGTGGATCCTCTGCAGTGAATGGGTGCCGTCAGAATGAGAGTCCAAACAGCTGATACAAACATCACAATAATCCACAAGGAATCCACACCACTCCAGTCCATCCAGCTGAGTGTTTGTATACAGTAATATTGTATAAAATAAAAGTTTGTACAATATCCATAATATGGTATTCTTCAGTCATCACTTATGAATCAGGAGAAAAATATGCACAGATCAAGTACAGTTTATGAGCAAAAGCAGTTTTAAACAAATATGTCGGTGTAAATTGATGTAAATGACAACAGGCAATGCATTTTTTCACTGGAAAAAGTGTTATTATGAATTATGTATTTTGGCCAGAAGTGACATGTTAAAGTTAAAATGCCTTAATGCTGGATTTGTTTTTTTTTACAAACACACAGCTTTTCTCTTCACAAGACATTAATTGATGGACTGGAGTGGTGTGGATTACTTGTGGATTATTGTGATGTTTTTATCAGCTGTTTGGACTCTCATTTTGACGGCACCCATTCACTGCAGAGGATCCATTGGTGAGCAAATGATGTAACTTACATTGCTTCTGTTTGTACTTTTTGCTTCAGTAAAGTCAAAGTGACTACACTTTCAACCAGTATCCTATTAGACTTGTCTTAAGAGAAACTGCTGCAGACAAGTTAAGTTCAATGTTATAAACTAACTAGTAGTACTGTGGAGTGAAATTTTATATCCCATTTTAAGAAAAAACTCTACATTTAAGTTCACCCCTAATCTGTTCTTGACTTTTCCTGTGTTCTTCAGTGTTCCTTCAGACTTGTCTAGCTCCATCAGAGTGCATTATTTTAAAGTGATTCTATTTTCTGAGGAATGTGTTAAAAGCAACAGAGTATACACACTCACATACAGTATTTACAAAACCACACATTCAAAATTTTAAATAAGAAACAGAGTGAGGGCACAGCTAAACACAAAAACAACACATTTTTTCTTAATGTATTATTGCACCATTAAACAAATTTTTGGTTTTTATTTTTAATATTTATTTATGAAGTTTGACATGCTGAATACGAAAATCACATGACATTTTGTGAATCATTAACAGTGCTCATGAAATCTAAAAACATATGTTGACACTTATACAAGCTTATCTGTTATTACTCATGCATAAAAATGACATGCTACATGCATAATAACAACAGTTTAACAAAAATGAGTCGTCCAAAACTTCAGAAGTGCACACTGGAGGATTTTTGTCTGTTATGGCTGGAATGTTCCAGAAAGTACTAGAATATTCCAGAATGTTACAGAAACTTCTAGAATGTTCCCATCCTTGCAAAAGCAAAATATCCTAAAAACAAAAAAGGTTACAAAATTAGAACAAAACTTAATCAATGTTTCATAATTAATGACAGAAGTTCTAAAATTTACCTGACCTAAATATTTACCAAAATATAAATGCTGCGTGAAAATAAATAGTACAATAATAATCAGCAACACAGAATTTCATAAGAACCATAAACAAATTTAAGTCAAACAAATTTGTTACATTGTGTTATCATACAAATATAGCTGACACAGCAATGGATAGTGCAATGGATATCAGTCAACTACTGTTGCTAATGTATAGCATGTTACATTCCCGGTGCTGAATGTTATATTGCATGTGTCTCATTCTCTGTAGTTCCAATTCGCCATTCACTGTATTATAAATGAAGTCTATCCCTGGGTCCCACCCAGTGCACTGCATACTAAAGTAGACTTCTATTCCTATGTGTGTGTGCTATTTGTGCAGAATGTTTCTCATCTAAAGGAGAAGACAGGCTATTTCGTCGTTTATTCAGGAGGTATAATCCGTTCATTCGGCCAGTGGAAAATGTGTCTGACCCCGTCACTGTGGAGTTTGAGGTCTCCATCTCACAGCTTGTTAAAGTGGTAAGAAAACCAGTGTCCACTGTCTCAAAATACTTAACCTGCTTTTTTGTCCATACATTGTATTTGAGATGAGATGTAAGCCTGTAAAAATGTTTCTAGGCCTGAATTGCAGTCAGTAGTAGTAGGGTTACGTAATATATTGTTACCATATTGTTTTTTTTTAAACCAATATTAGAGATTTTTAAGTATTAGCCAATATTAGAGTTTTTTTTTTTAATTATTATTGATATTCGTAAATACTGGATATTGTACATATTGTTTACATTTTCCTTATTTTTACATTTATATTACATGTTCCATCATCTAATGTTCATTTAAATCTTTTAAAATAATTGAATAACACTGTTAAATCTTTAGCAAATCCCAATATGAATATATATTTTCATACTGTACATTGTGATGCCTAAATTCACTTGTGCAATTTAAAACAACATATTTTTTGTTGTTATTTTTATAATTTTTTAACATTAATTTAAACAAAGTATAGAAATGTAATGTTGACTTTTTGTTTATGTTTTTGTGCATCTTTAATGAATATTTTTCTAAAGAATAAACTCTGTAGGACATCAATTACAAATCATCATACTCTTTAGCATTATGCTTGTGGAAAGAAATCAAACAAAGCTGAAACATCTGTGTCAAAAAACTAAAGGATTCTAGTCACATTAATTAAGGTGTACAAGTTTAAACTCAAAGAAATAAATGTATGAATAGTGTGTGAGGTCTTTTATTCCAAATTGGAAAAAAGAGGATTTGCTCCGCAGGTGGCTTTCTGTAAGTGGAATTCTGTGCTGTTTTCAGTTGTTGTGAGAGCTTTTTGTTTCATTTACTGTGGTCAGAGAGAGCAATTGAGTTAAAAGCCTTTGCGCCCCACTATTACAGGAAGTAGTGCAGACTCTGTGCTTTCACCGGAGTCATACAAATCAGCACTCCTCTTAAAACTCCTGGATTAAATTTCCACTTCACCCGGGGAAAGCGGCCAAGATCATCAGCACACCTTTATTCTTGCTTCATGGAGACAGACACCTGAGAGATTAACAAGCCATAACCCACCACTCTAGAGAACACAATCCTGGATTATAGATTATACTCACTCACTCACTCACTCACAGGATTAAGGAAAATTTGCCCAACAAGCATTTTTTCCCCCAGATGTTTTCTTGTGGATATGCAGGAGCTGTTACTACAGTGATGAATGCAGACAGTACACACTTGAAGCAAATAGATGAAAGTACTTCTGAAATTTTAGCCCTCCAAACCCCCTTTTTTGTCAGATGTCTCTTTGCCATTAGACAAGAACTGTATTGATTTTATTGCTAGAACATGTTCCATTCTAAATAATAGAGGATGGCTGTCTTTGCTTCTACCTGTGTCTTCCTCTCTATAGGATGAAGTCAATCAGATCATGGAAACAAATCTCTGGCTGAGACATGTAAGTGATGACTGTGTGCAGAATGTAGGGCTTGTGAATGTGTTAACACAGGCATCTCATCTTCTTTATGTCTTGTTGTATTGCTGTTGGTAAGAATGTAACAAGAAAACGTGTGTAGCATAAACATGCAAAGGATGGGGTTGAGTAATGATGGGGAAGAACAATACAGTAGATATATACCCTGTACATGGAGCAGACGAGTAAGTGGAAACAGGACACCATAGAAAAGAAAAGTTATGGAAATAATGGAAAACTCAAAGGTAGCACAGTAGTTTTCTCCAAAAACGAATGGAAAGAAAGAGGTTAAAAAGATGGTAATATATGTGCAAAAAAAGTTTAGTCTAACTAGATCAAACATTTCACTTTATTGTTTTTAAAAATCAGCAGAACAATAAACTACTGTTATGAATAGTTATTTCACAGTCAGCAAAGATTTAGTTATTATTTAGTTGAACTTATTTATTTAGTGAACCTATTTTTCATACCCTAAGTATGAAGAAGCATGCATCATTTGATCTTTGAATTTAATTTGGCTTAAAAACTGCTAAATTTTTATTTACTATTTTATTTTGAATGTAATTTTTTTGCTTTAATAGTGACAGGGTTTCTGTAAAAATGTCTGGTTAGACATATATTACGTAGATACAGTACATATTTCAGTGCTACAATAATGAGTAAAACATGCTCCAGCATTACTGCTGAACTTACTGCTTAAATCAGCATTTTGTGTTGACAGTTAAGAGTGATTTATGTACGTTACATTGTGTAATATTGTTACTGAGAATTTGTTGCCCTAGCCGGATTGTGTCAGCTAATTTATGAATGCATCAGCAGTCATAACATTCAAATGTTCTTTTTCTGACACAGTGCCGTTGGGGACTTCTTGGTGGAGGACAAAACCAAAGCTCTTTTGAAATATGATGGAACCATCACTTGGGTCCCTCCTGCAATCTTCAAATCATCCTGCCCTATGGACATTACTTACTTCCCCTTTGACTATCAGAATTGCTCTATGAAGTTTGGTTCCTGGACCTATGACAAGGCCAAGATTGACCTGGTTCTTATTGGCTCAAAGGTGAACCTTAAAGACTTCTGGGAGAGTGGAGAGTGGGAGATCATCGATGCACCAGGTTATAAGCATGACATCAAGTACAACTGCTGTGAAGAGATCTACCCAGACATAACCTACAGTTTTTACATACGGCGACTGCCCCTCTTCTACACTATCAACCTTATTATCCCCTGCCTCCTCATCTCCTTTCTGACAGTACTTGTCTTCTACCTTCCATCAGACTGTGGTGAGAAAGTGACATTGTGCATCTCGGTACTCCTCTCTCTTACTGTGTTCCTTCTTGTCATTACGGAAACCATCCCATCCACCTCACTCGTGATCCCTCTGATAGGCGAGTACCTTCTCTTCACCATGATTTTCGTCACCCTCTCCATTGTCATCACCGTCTTTGTATTGAATGTGCACTATCGCACCCCTATGACCCACACTATGCCTTGCTGGGTCCGTACCGTCTTCCTCCGAGCTTTACCCCGCATCATGCTCATGCGCAGGCCTCTCGATCTATCAGAGTCCTCTGGGAAAGGAGGACTAGAAAGTGGGGGCTCGTCCGGGACTGGAGCAGGACGAGGAGGAGAGGGAAAGAAGAGGAAAAACAGTGCATCTCAACAGGGAGCAATGAACTCTTTGGAATTTGGAGAGGGGAAATCAGCATTAGAAGGAAAGAAAGGGGGATGCCCATGTCACCCAATGAAAGAGGCAACTGAGGGGGATTGTGGAAAAGTGAGTCGTCAGTTGAGCTCACAGGGTATTAACACAGTTGTGGCTTTCTCTGTGGTGTCACCGGAGATCAAACAGGCTATTGAGAGTGTGAAGTACATTGCTGAGAACATGAGGAGCCGCAACAAAGCCAAAGAGGTAAGCATTTCCCATTCAGTCAATCCACTCGGTACAACACATTGATTATAAGGAATTGTGCTCTCTGGATAAACACACTGCCAAAATTGTATTCTATTTCATTCTATTTATTTTTTTACATGGAACTTGAATCCACATGCAATAGAGCTTTTCTGTCAAAAAAGAGAGTAGTCACATCAGTGTCAGCTGGGAAGCAAACTGCACATCAGCAAACTGGACCTCCTTTCCAGGGGAGGACCCTGTGTCAAGGAATGGCATCTTCAAGGGTGAACACAGATCTCCTATGCCAGTATAGGTTTCTTCGAATTATGTGGAAATGTCAGGTGTCCTATGCTTTTATCCATAACAGATCAGTGTGCTTCTCTAGGAAAAGATGCATCCATGCATCAGTGGCCCTAGGCTATTCATTTATGCATTTCTTTTTGTACCGTCAAAAACGTGGTTTGCTATCATCATCAACATTCTAGTAGAACAGCCTTGGTGTTTCCTATTTGCGTACAGATCTGCTCAGCCAACCAAAAGCGGAAGTTATGCATCCCTGACCAGAGCTGTGGGCTTTGAGGTCAGTGTTGTGGGCTCAGTGTTGTTTCTGCAGTTCATAATGGTAAAGCCCTCTCTACGAAAAGTCTTTATTATTTATACTTTTTCTTGACTCTGAAAGTCTAGCAGAACTTTCTTCATGTCATGAGGAAATCCGTGGGGTTCCCTGGAGAGGTGTGAGGTGCATCACATTAACTATTCAACTATATGTCTAAGACCTTTTCGATTGTTGGATCAACTCATTGTCGGTTTTGCCAATCCGACTCATTGTACTGTGCAGCCTAAGAAATGTCTCTCTCACTGAATTGTGGAGGCTATCTCTTGGCATGTAACAGCCTGAGGGAGTGCAAGTCATTCAACTCGTGGGATGGCTGCTTCTGAGCTTTCGTATTAATTCCTGTTCTATATTTGCTAGATTAATTGGGCGTGATAATTGGTCCTGTAGTCAATGTGTTGCAACTATATATATCACTATGAATACATAACTCCTGTCCCAGAAGCAGGAGAACAATGTTCAACACATCACAGCCCCACACTAACTTAGCTATCGGTGAGAGAGCATGCATTTGTATTTCTACAAATCGGGCTCGGTCGTGTTCCGGGAGAGGGGTCCTCCTCGGTAGAAGTCCCTGGTATCACTGTGTGTTAGTGGCTTTTCAGGGATGCATTTCTGGTCTGATTTCCAATAGTCAATGTGTTGTAACTTGTTTCCCTCTGGGAAAAGTCATTGTCATTGTTCCATCCGCTTGTCTTTTCACATGTCATAACATCTTTATAATAAAAAAACACATTGCCCATTGAAAGAAGGTGTCCACTTAGTGTATGACTCAAATTCTAACATCATGTCATGCTTTGGTTGTAATGCCCTGATAAGGACAGATTATACATCACAGACATCTAGCATAAGCTTACGGAAACGACTCAGCTACTCTCAGTGGAAATGTTTACTGAGTGCTTCACTGGCAAGACTAGATCCCTCAGTGGAGACATCACACTTTGACATGGAAAGTCTCACCACTTCATCCTTCATCTTCACTCTTGGCTCAGAGCCTCACTACTGAATCACATTAGCATCGTAATGCACCCAGTGCCTAAATATGTGAAGAGAAAATGTTTCACATAGCTCCGCTTATAGTAGCACAATCTAATTGAGCTTATCCCCATGTAGTGTGAGTAAAGCATTCTGGACAGTCAGATTTTCACTCATTCTCATCCTCTCTTTGCCATTTTCTCCTCCATTTACCTTGCTTTGACGTTCAATTTTTGCTTCTTTCTCTAATTTTCTTTCCTTGTTACCGCTAACCTCTATTTTCTTTCATTTATTAACCTTCCATCTCTCCTCTTTTTCTTTGTTTATTGTGTGCCCTTTCTCTCTTAGGTGGAGGATGATTGGAAGTATGTTGCCATGGTGATTGACCGCATCTTCCTTTGGGTCTTTGTGCTGGTGTGTGTGCTGGGAACTTTGGGACTCTTCCTGCAACCTCTGATTGACTTCTTCTCGTAATTAACTATGCCAGCTTGCCTGTTCTAACCAATCATTATCTGAGTTACTGACATGCTCCATATTTAATTAGTATCACACGTGTTCCATCATTACAACAAAACTATATACTGGTGTCCTTGCACACAGCAAAAACATAATCAGGTGGTCTGTTTTGCTCTCTGCCACTAATCAATTGGAGACTGCTTTTTGCCTTTTTTTAACAATCAGTGACTCCAAGTGAACTTTCTAATCACCATCTATCCTGAAGCACTAAAATGTCCATAAGAAGACCAATCAGACTGACTGGTGTTCTGTGTCCACTACTCAAAATGACATTCCACTTACAATATCTGATTACACACACATGATATGTGGCATTTTATACCAAACAACATGGCCATCTTCTCTCAACTCAACAGTCACTCAGGAAAATCTGCAAAAGACAGTGATTGTGGGAATAGAGTAGAGGAAATCCAGTTTAAGCACAAAAATGTTGTGTAGATTAGTTCACCAAAATCTTCAAGGATAAACACTGAGCCGTGTGATTATGGGACATAATTAGTCAAGAATATGGGTGATCTATAAATATCTTTGAGTTGTGGCATGGCTGCACTCCAGAATAAAAATGACTAATCTGGTCCCATTATGCCAAATAATTTGTGTTTAGAATGAGATTAATGAATGTTTTTTTTTATTTTTTTTACTCAGTGTGTCTCATTCCTATGATACTGCATGTTGAAGATTTTTTTAATTTGAAGCAGTTGTATTGACCATGATGTCTTAATCCTTAACTGTTTTGAGTGCTGTGCAGGCTATTAAAATGATTGCTTTCCCTCCCTCTCTCACACTCATGCTCTCTCTCTCTCTCTCTTGCTCTATCAGATACATAATCCCCTCTTTAATATCACCATTTAAATCTATTTTCCACTTCCACTTGTCAGCTTCTGACACTTTTGTAAAAAATTTTTTTAACAGATGTCTTTCAAATAAAAGTTATTTTTTGTTGTACACACTATCATCTCTGTCTTACTGCCTCTGTGTCAAACTCGGCAAGCAATGAGTGCATGTATGTGGTGCGTGTCTGGGAAACGTGACGTATGTCTCTGAAACACACATGCTTGGCTTGGCTGCTAAAGCAGAGGTTAAAATTGCCTCTGGTTTTATGACTGGTTTTATTAGAATTAGGTCTTTTAAAGCAGCACCTTTTTATAATCATTTCCTAAGTGTAAAAACTCTTTCAGAATGATCTGACTTAATTCTAGCACATTCATAATCCTGTAGCACTGTTTATGGTGTGTGGAAATGACACTTTTTGCAATTTAAATGCAGCAAAGTACAGTGATTTAGCAAGTTTTATATATACTACAAAATCAAAACTCTTCAATATGACTTTAGAGCAGTTGAGGAGCTCTAAAAACTGCGAAAACTTGGCATTAGATAAATCAAATAATAAATTAATAATTTTTCCAGTATATTATATTTAATGTACATTAATCTTGCAGCAATTAATTTATAATTCCATTTTCAAATTACCACATGATAATGATTTTTCAAAAATGGTAAATGGTTAACTGAGGGCACTCAAAGTTCCTACACTGCCATCCTTTGAGAGAGAACCAAAAAAAAAAAAAAAAACATTAAAAAAGCCAAATGTAACAGGGTAGAAACACTATAGAAAAACTGTTCTGTGTCTGCATTGGTTTCAGGAATGTCTATTGTCTTCTTTACATCCGCAGAATGTCTTGAATCAATAGCATCTCAAGCACACAGACTGCAATAGCATCTTCTATATGTGCCAACATTTGACTGTAGCTCCAACAGCTCATGTAATGCATTCATTCCAAAGAAAATTCTTCAGTACACATTCAGACTGATGTTAGGAAAAAATCTAATTACCAACATGTGGCTGAAATTAGCATAAAACTAAAGAAGCCTCTTCCTTTAATCTGCAATTTTTCACACAACTGCTCTTTATTGATATATTAGCTTCAGGCAGCAGACACTTTATCATAGGTTTTATGAAAATCACAACATAATGCAGGAAAATGATTTTGAGTTTGTTTGAGCATTAGAGGACTATAAAGGGGAAAATGCACCACCTCTGCCTTGGTTTATGTGTATGGAAAATCACAGTGTATATGAATACACACTTTAAAGCATAATACCTATAACACTTGGGGTGTAAGTGAAATGCTTTGTCTGGCACTTGCTAACACAAAACAAAATGCAATACACAAAGTCACACATGTAAAAACAAATAGTGATTACTGTTGTTGTCTCTCATATTGCAGTCTAGTGGAATTTGGGTCACACAGTAATAGTCCAAGATCTGTGTTTATACAGTGATCATAGTAAATGTATTTATTAATTTCTCTTCATGAGAAGACGACATGAACGATCAAAGTTAGTGCATGTTTACTCAAGTAGATGAACGTTAAGTTCATTTTCTTGATTATTGTTTGAAAAGAACTTTGCATAAGAGTGCTCCTCAAAACCTCTTTCTCTCTTACCCTCGTCCCTTCTGTGTGTTCATCTGATTCATTATACTGATTACTGTGGATGTGCCACCATATCCAAAATTAACATTTGTTTGTGCGTTTGCATGTTTTTGCATTTGTATTCCTCTCCCTTTGTCAGTTTTTCCTCTGGTTCTTTACCAGACTGGATATGTGTGGCTTTATCTTTAAATAAATTGCACACATTTATCTTCCTCTCTCTTAGAGGATAGTAGTTTTGATATTGTTTCTCTTATTTTGCAGTGCTTAAATTCTGAGGTCAGGCTTACCTCAAAATACCACATTTCTGTCCTTCCTGGATTAGTATTATTGTTACTCTTGTTATTATAGTTTTTTGTTTAGCTCTTTGTTGTGGTGTGCCTTGCTCTCCATGGTCCAGGCTGTAGCCTCCTCGTCACTATATATGGAATCTGAAGCTTTTGTCACGGCAACAGCAGCCTGTAATCCAATAGCAAAGCCTCCTTCTCCAGAGCGTATTGTGTATGTGTTCTAACAAATACACCCGCTGGTGTAACTGGGCTGAGGCAGCAGGAACTGAGGTTCCTGTAGTTTATGTTCTTTTTTGAGAGTGTTCTTGTAACTCAAACAGTAGGACATGGTGCTAGCAATGCCAAGGTCATGTATGCTTTGTGTTCAGTATAAGTTGCTTTGGATAAAAGCATCTGCCAAATGCCTAAATGTAAATGAAAAGCTCATACTGTAAAAAAAAACTTTCAGCTGTGGTTGCCAGAATAATTCTCCAAAAATACAGTAAAAATGTTACAGAACAACCTGTACATTTACAGTTTAAAACTATAATTTACAAAAAAAAGGCCACCCTGCAACAAAAATCTTTTTTGTACCTTTAACATGATCTGACAAACACTATAATAACACTAGTGATAAAGAGAAAGCTACATGAAGAATCAAAGTTCATCACAAGTAGCTTTTCCACAAGCTGAGATAAATACTTATAATAGGTCCACAGTGTCAAACACACAAATACAAAACATCATCATATTTATGCACACACTTAAATTGACATTTACATTACCTTTATGCATTTAGCAGATGCTTTTATCCAAAGAGGAACAAAGCGATTTATCAAACAGTCAGTAATCATTGTACAAAAGGTTAGGATTTTTCACTGTGAATTATAAGTGACTTGTTCGTTTTTTACTTCCAAAAATGTCTCAACAGTATTTTGATGTAAAATTACATGAAATGTTAGATTATAGTTTTTCCATGTATATAGTAAGGGAACTTACCATTAACCAATTAACAGTTATTTACTGTAGACAGTCTTTTTAAACATTTTAACAACTTCCAAATGATCCAAATTCTTTGATTAAGCTTGTTTTGTGCATCGTTCAGCACCAATAGCATTTGACATTCAGTTAGCTGAGCTCTAGGGTTTCTCCTGAACTTGTTTTAACCCTGACATTGAACCCGAGCTTTTAAATTGTGGTTCTAGTGTCTCTGAAGATTATTGACTGACTTGTTTGCTTTGTAGTAGAGCAAATACTTGAGCCACTTTGTTAAAGGCCTTTGTTCAACACCAAGAACAGCGGCCACTAAAACTCAACACGACACATGACCGTGAAGAGACATAGCAGAACAGGACATCTGTGTATGAGAGTCCCTATAGGAAGGTTTTCTATGTGACTACCTACCTATTGTGCCTCTGCTGTATTTTTCATAGTCCTCGGTCGAGATGATTAAATTGTGCCATCTCATAGTGAGAGACCTGGGATTCTTATTAATGCCAAACTCGAGGCTAGTCATCATAGTATGACGTTAAACACTAGAGACCCAATCATAGTGCTTCCTACAGCAACATGGTACCGTCATAACTCAAACATAGATTCTGCTGCTGTCAGGTTGGTTCATAGTGGACTGACCTATTTGTAGTATGTGTCTGTCCAAGGAACTGTATGTTAGTTAGCTATGCTTCAGAGACAATATTGTTCTCAGAAATAAGCTAAATCTGACAAACTTTGCTTAGGGGAATTCTGGGGATGTCCTTAAAAGTTAAATGATTCATAAATAAAGTACCTTATTATTCTAAAAATGCTGAACATGTTCAAATGGGCAGTATGTCCTCATTTAGTGTGTGTGTGTGTGTGTGTGTGTACGTGATATTCCCTACATTATGGAGACCAAATGTCCCCACAAGGACAGTAATACCAGTAATGTTTGACCTTGTGGAGACATTTTTTGGTCCCCATGAGGAAAACAGCTTATTAATCACACAGAATGAAGTTTTTTGAAAATCTAAAACAGCAGAACATTTTGTGTAAGGGGTAGGTTTAAGATAAGGGGATAGAAAATACAGTTTCTACAGTATAAAAACCATTACGTCTATAGAATGTCCCCATAAAACATGGAGACGTGTGTGTGTGTGTGTGTGTGTGTGTGTGTGTGTGTGTGCGTGTGCGTGTGCGTGTGCGTGAACAGGTTTAACCTATATTGTGGTTCCCACTAGAACAGTAAAACCTGAGCTCAGCTATATTATGGGGACCTCAGCTATATATTTGATGGTCCCCATGAGGAGAACTGGTTAAGAAACCTACTAAATAAAATTTTAATATGTAAAAATGCAAAAAGGTTTCTGAGAGGGTAAAGGGATGGAAGTCCTTACAGAGATATAAAAACAAACATGTATGAAACTACTTAAAGGGGTCATATGATGCAATTTAAATTTTTCCTTTCTCTTTGGAGTGTTAAAACTCTTGGTGCATAAAGAAGACTAAAGAAGACTAAAGTCTTGGTGCATAAAGAAGATCTGTAAAGTTGCAAAGACTAAAGTCTCAAATCCAAAGAGATATTCTTTATAAAAGTTCAGAGTCAGCCACACCTACCTAAAACGGCTCGTTAATCGTTAATTGCTCCTTTCCTGCGTTTAAGTGCGGACTGTAGTTTCGATTTGAGGAATTGGCCTGCTATAGACTATTGGCTGTGCTAATTAGAAGGCGGCCACAGCTGTTTTCACTTTAGTCTTTT